CAAATGAAGAATACTTCAAAGGTGACTGAAGTTTAAACATTAAGAATACACGATGTTTTATAAACAGATTCCAGAATTTTGGGGGTCCCCCCTTGTATCTTGGACTATGGGTGATGGTCACCAGTACCCATTCTCTAAGCTGCAACTAAAAAGTAAGGCACTTTGGCTATCTGGTCCCCCTGCTGTATGTGCATGAAGCAGGCGCTCAACAAGTAGGCAAGATTGATAGAACAGTCATAAAGAGCTGAATGTGTTTTAAATTCTTTATAAGACCATACAGAAACAATTATTAAACTTACATAAGCTTGTGCTTAAACTGCCCCCCAAATTTTCAAGTCAAATATGAATAAATTTGTTTAACCTTGAGTCACTACACTCATTTGCTAAGCTATAGCCTTGATAGTGCAAAGAAGCTCCTCAAGTAGGAATATACACCAAGAGAATGAGCCCAACCCAGAGTTACATGGGTATTAATGAGCTTGGACTTGCACACTCTTTGCCAACTCTATTTCCACAGGGGTTAGAAACCAAATTTGATTTTATTTTCCCAGAATGCTACAGTTGGTTCTTAAGCTTGATTTATGATAAACATAAAGCATCTTAAGAATCAGGTAATTAACTTCTAGTTCCAGAACCACTTTTTTTTTTTTTTTGAGACAGTGTGTCACTCTCGCTCATGCTGAAGTACAGTGGCACAGCCACGAACTCCTGGGTACAAGCAACGGTTCCAATCCTTCCACCACAGCATCCTGAGCAGCTGGGACTACAGACACGTGTCACTATGCAAGGCACACTTTTAATAATTTAATTTGTAGAGAGGGTCTCACTACATTGCCGAGAATGATCTCAAACTTCTGGCCTCAAGCGATCCTTTCGCCTCAGCCTCCCAAAGAGCTGGGATTATAGGCATGAGCCACCATGCCTGGTCTGATTTAACTTTATTTAAATAAGTGTGATTCCAATTTGTTCACGGTAAGCTGCTCGGTTGAGGATCAAATTTGACATAGGGTAGAAGTTGCATTCAGGAAACTGAAAATGAATAAGGCCAAATATAAATTTAGAGATATCTATAACAGAGATACAGACACAAATTGCTCACAATGGTTACTTCTAAAGAGGGATGTGGGATGGTAAGAGAAGGAAGATCTAAAAGGGACTTTCCATTTTTACTCTATATTAAAGGCACAGATCAAACATAAGTTTAAATTTTTGGCAGTACGAAGTCTTATGCTACAGGATTACTACTCAGAGTCATACAGACTTCTTTCATTTGCTCTGTATTCCTTCCCCATCAACTATACCTTTCCTTTTTTCTTTGTTCCTTCAAATGAAAATGTATTCTGAGTAGTGAGTCTGCTAAGTTAGCGATTAGCTTTTATATACTAATCAGTCAGTCACAGGTCAAAAGTAATGAACTTCAAATGAATTTTAAGATGCCTTTCTAGTTCCCCGATTCACATTCTTTAAAAAAACCGAGATTCTGTCTAAGCACTGGCTTGCATTTAAATTCTATATACTACGGAGATCCACCTAATTGACCAGATTCCTTTTTAGAAGGTTTCAGGGTGAGTCAGAAGCTATTTTTTTTAGAAAAGGCAAAACATAACCAAAGAGATGTGGGAGAAAATAAAATGAAAAAGTCTGTATTTACTGAAGACCTCCTAGACATGTTGGTAAGAGACAAGGCAAGTTGTGAAATATATGCAAAGTAAGACACAATTTATGTAAAAATTTAAAACCCACAAGACCATGCATTTCTATATGTAAATATATAGGTATATTAATGTATGGCAAAAAGGCATTTAAAGAGTATATACTAGAGTGTAATAGTCACCATTTGGGAGGGGGCACCCAAGAGGCACTTTGACAATAACTGTATTTTTTATTCTTTTTCCTAGAACATAGTCTTACATAATTAAACACAAAACGAGAAACTTTCACACTTCTAGGAAGTACTACATATGACAGTTTCCTTAAAATAACTTGCTACTGAAGGTACAGTTTAGCAAATACCACTGTTTTCTATTTTTCAACATCATCAAACTTTATCCTTGCTATCTCTCACTTTTCTCTTATTGCTCTACACATGTTCAATTTAAGGAAATCATGTTCGCTTTTTCTTAAGTACTTGATAATGAAGAGATGACACAGTTGCCAGGAGTACCAAAATCAAGAGTGAAAACTGTTACAGTGGGAATAAAGGCTATTTAAATAGGCAACTATCTCTTGACTTTTGGTGTTATTGTGATACATTTGAAAACATTATGGACTTATAAAGAGGAAAAGATGCTTTAAGAGTCTAAACAGGTGTGCTGTGAAACATTAACTTGTCATGTTTACTCATCCACTGAAGAAAAAAATGTTGCAGTAGAAAGGTCAGCATACAAAAAGCACAGTTTTTCAGAAAAGACATAGTATACAAATCCGGGACAGCACAATCAGTGCTAAAGATCTATCACACTGAAGTAGTGTTTGTTTTGAAGAGAAGTATTTCTGCTTAAAACTGAAAACTCTTAAGAGTATTTCTAATATTTTTCATTAAATATGATGCTACTAAAATATATTTAGGAAAAGTTTGCTCAATATTGTAATTGTTTTCTTGAGAAGGAAAAGGCCACCAAAGTTATAGATATGTGTAGCATGAATTTTGGTTCACAAAACCCAATATATTACTCTGTTATAGTTGATTATAAGTAACAGAACTGCAACATACTTAAATCAATGCCTATTGTGTAATCAATGCAATTCAAAGGAATTCCAGCTTTTAATTATTAAAATCTAGGTAATGCATTTTGTAATTTAGAAAGAGTACTTAAGGATCAGCTCAGTCTCTATATCTTTAAACATTACTGTGAGGCTCTCCTGTCACTAATTACATCCTTTTCCAGAAAAATCTCAAGAACTTAAATGGTAAGAAATCATGTATTCCCTCTGTCACACTGTATCTACAAAGAAAACTGTGAAAACTCTACAAACAGAAGTCAAAAGATAAATTCAGGAAGTTAAGAGCACAGATGAAACTACTTTTAGAGATTACATAACTGGTAATTATAAGGGCAAACCATATTATCTGAAGATATTATATAAGATCAGTGACTTAGATTCTTGGTAGTACTTCCAAAAGATTGCAAATTATATAGTAAAAGAAATAAAAAGTATCACAATCTACTTTTTAAAAATGTTCTAAATATTTAGCATAATAAATAGGTTGCCTTATTTAGAAAGTCTTTGATAAAAGTAATGTCATTTTCAAAGTGATTTAAAATTGTCGGATTGTAGAATTTTATATCTACTTGACTTCCATTCTACTTTTCCCTCTTCTTTTATTACTAAAAATCTAAAAATGAACTGTCATTCTTCTTCCTTACTTTAATGTCAAATAAAAAGTACTCCACTAATAACAAGTCAAAAAAAAGAAAAAAGGTTTCAATGCAGTAACAGCCACAACTTTAGGGTATTTTTGGAGATACCCCAGACAAAACAAATTAGAACGATCATATTTCATACAATAACATGATGCTTTTTTCTTTTCAGATTACTGTTTACCCCCAAAGCATTGCAATATACATTTTTAAAAACAATAATCTTGCCCTGTAATCACAAAGTAAAACAAGAAGCAGAATACCCACCATTACAGAAACAATGATTGTATACTTTTAACATAATAATATTCAGGTTTTTTTTAAAGACTATCTTAAACCAATTTTTATATATGTTAAGTGTATATGCTTACTAGTTGGAAAAAATGTTTGTTTCTACCTACTACTTTAAATACACAACACGGTAACTTGTGTCTTCTTCCTAACAGCACAGTTATCAGAATAGGAACACAAAAGATTAAGAGATGAAGACAGTATCAGAAAAATATCCTGTGCCTTGGCTTATCATGTCTTTATCTTTCCTTTGTATACATACTGCAGTTGACTGGTACTCTTTCATTACACTTTCACCCTATTCCTACTTAAAGACCTTTTGGTCTTTAAAGCAACAATAGGCATATCATGTAATCTATTGTTGCTGCTGAATTAGTCTAAATTACAAGCAAAAAAAAAAGGAGGGGGAGAATTAAATGTATGAAGTTAAAAAAGATACACAGAAACTAAGGAAGCATAAAGAAATACTAATATGGAGAAAGTAATACCCTACCAATTAGCATCTGGGCAACTCTGGAGAAGAGGTTCCTATCTGGACTTTATACCATTAAAGTGGGGTCAAAGTAGAAGTACAGCTCTCCTATTATCAGGTTTTATAAAAATTTTTTGGAACAAAGCTCAATTTAATCTCTAACTAGTTTTGTTTTTGGAAGGTTTTTTGTTTGTTTGTTTTCAGAGACAGGATCTTACTATGTTACACAGGGTGAATTCAAATGCCTAGGCTCAAGTGACCTTCCACTTCAACCTCCAAAGTAACTGGAACTATAGGTGCACACAACCATGCTCAACTACTCTAACTAGTTTTAAAAACATATTTCACTCCAGTTAGAATATCTTATTTCCCATCTACAACAGTAAGACTAGCAAAGCTTTCTTTTCTCACTCTGAAAGAGCCAGGAAGGCAAAAACAAATTATCCTGTGATACTCCAGATCCCCAATGTCTCCCCCACTCCCACATAAACACTAACTTCACAGGAAACCAAGAGATTATACAGAGTACAATTATCCCATAGAAGGCAATTTTAGCTTTATCGCCCTGACTCTTCCCACCCCACCCTCTTCAAACACATATAACAGAGAGGTCAGTGTGTTGAGTTTGGCAAGGATAATAAAGAAGTTAAGGTGAAGGCTCACAGACCACTTAATAATATGTTAAAACTCTAACATCATAACATCAAAGTGTCAATTCATTCAAGCTTTAACCCACGTGGGAAGGTTTAAGCTATTAACGTAAAAATATGGCAGTACTCCCTCGGTAACTATACCTCTATATATCCTCTTAGTTGCTCATGCTAATAGTTTTATTGTATATTACTGCTTCTTATAAGAAGTAAATCCAGGGGCCATTCCATTTTATCTTAGACATAACATTTACTAGTTTTCCAGGCATGACAGAAATGAAAAAATATATATATTAGAACAAGAACAATTTATGTTAATTCCACAATCTGTGTCCCTTCTGTGAGCAGCACCTGATTCTATTAAAATTAACAAATTTAAAGTTCAGCCCTATGCTTAAAAAAAATCTAATGAGGAACTAATTTAAAGTATACAAGAATATAATTCTACAATAAATCTTTCCAGTGTTCGCTATAACTGCATTACATGTCATGTTTCCCTCCACAGAAATTCAGAAGGATAGTTCTTATAAAACAAAACAGAATATTCTGTGTTCATCTCTGGCAAGCAATGAACAAATACAACTTGCTCACAAAGGATCTAAAAGCGCTGCCTCAGGAACACATACTACCACTAATGTGCTACATGAATGAATCTTGGTGAGTGGCTATCATCTGGATCTCTTCCTCTCTTTACACCAGCGAACCCATCTCATATAAAACCTAAGAGAAAACAAAAGCTATTGCAGAAGAGAAACCGCATGCTCCACTCAAATTCTTTTAAGGTAACCATTCTAAAGCAAGATCAGCAGAAGTCATCTCTTTTATAAGAACAAAACCCCAAACCAAAGGCAAATGCTGCTGCTCAATCATCAGGTGGACTCACAGAGGCAAAATATGTGACAACAGCAATAATTCAAGTAAAGTACGTATGAAAATTTAAACACGCCATGTTCAAGTTAAGACAAAAGTGAAGGGGACCTATGATCTTTATATCAGAGTCAAAAAGCTTAGGCATTATCACCAAATGTTAATTCACTTTACAGTCATCAATGAGTCTACTGTATATATTTTTGCACCTTGCGCTTGTAAAAGCAGATAAAATATTTAATATGTAATTTACAATGTATTTTACCAGCTCAGCATACAGGATGTATACAGATTATATCAAAGTAGTAGACAGTTAGGGGCCTGTGCAAACCCTGCAAAAATAGTACTTCAGGTATCTGCTAATTAAAAAAAAACAAAACAAATAAAATAGTTTGCTGTTTATAAGTGATACAATTCAAACTACCACAAAATACAAAGGGCTGCAAAAATGTATACCATTCCAACAACATATATAAGTTATTAAATAAAGATTTGATTTAAAAGAATATAAATGAAGGCTTTAAGTAGGTCTTTTCTACATGCATATTATTCCTCATTAAAGAAAAAATATGTAAAAAGGCCATTGGTAATTGCTTTGTTAACATTTGTAGAAAATGCCAATTCTCTGGTCACAAACTTCACTAAGTATAGCACTTAAGGTCTCTGCAGTGTTATAAACGTAATTTAAAATACTGTTAATTCTATAACTCCATTGGTAAAATAATGTGACTTGGAATATGGCAGTCTTCATGTTGAGGGCAATGATCCACAGTTTTGTTTTGATTTTCAATTTCTTAGGCGTGAACAGTTATCCAGAAGAACAGCACCCTCCACCACCACTCTGGGCTTGAGGTTCATCATCGATAATTTGTACACCTCGCCTTGCAGCTCCTGGTTGACTAGATCCATTGCCTTTTGCCCTCTCATCCACCTGTGCTGTTTCTATCATCCCTAGAAGAGGAAAAAGCAAAAATTATTAGGACGACAATCTTTGAGTTTTCTATAATTTCAGTATAACACTTGAAAACAAATATAATGACCATTGTGTCAGCTTACTAAAACAGCTTTATCTGTAAGTTTTAAAAAAATATCAAGTAGCAAGCATATTTATACAGGGATATAATGGCTAGAGTGACATCAACAAAAAAAGTTTTTTGACTTAGAACAAATAATTGTGTACAAGTATAACCCTTAAGATTTTCCAAACATACTTAGAAATATGTCAAAAAGTTCTGGATGTTAGGCCTTTGTCAGATACCCAATTAGTAAATATTTTTTCTCACTCATAAGTGAGACCTGAATATTAATCACAATAGCACAAGGGAGGTATCGGCCGCTGCAGGACACTGTCAGGTGGTAGAGGGAGGGGGAACATAACAATACAAAGGGTACCTGGTCCTAAACCAGGGGAAGTGAGGACCAGTTGGAGGTCCAAACTTCACCTGCATATAGATTACTTATCAACCTTATCCTGACTTGTACCCCACATCTCTATAATAAAATAAAGTTGCATATATATAAAAAATAAATATGTCCAAAAAATTTAAATTGTTCCAAGTCCAAGTGATAGTTATGGTTCAGAATTTACTCTTTAATTAGAAATGTAATACTTTAAAGCAAGTGATAGTTGAAAGAATAACAGAGTTTAAAATGAGAGAACTTTGAAGAAAAAAGCTAGAAGACACACACTATCTGATTTAAAGATATAAAATAAAGCTACATTAATCAAGACAGCGAGATGATAGGAGAAAAACAGAGATCAATTGAACAGAAAAGAGAATCTAGAAATAGGCTCTCACATATATGGTCTCTTAATTTTTGACATATGTGCCAAGGGTATTCAATAAAGAAACAACAATGTTCCCAAGAAACAGGACTAGAATTAGACATCTATATGTAAAAAATAAACACCTTAACACCATACGCAAAAACCAATGAAAAATGAATTATAGTCTTAAATGCAAAATGTGAAACAAAATTTCCAGTAGAAAACATAGGAGAAAAATCTTTATAGAATTTTTATGACTTTGGCTTAAACCAAGATTTCTCATATTAAGACAAAAAACATGAATCATAAAAGAAAAACTGATAAATTAGACTTCAGTAAAATTTTAAAATTCTGCTCTTTGAGAAAAATGAAAATACAAAACACAAGACCAGGAGAAAATACTCACAAAACACATATCTGACAAGATGAAGGAGGAAAAGAGGGAGTTCTGGAAACAGAACAAGGGTTCTGAAATTTGGGTCCAGAGACCAAACCTGAACAATGGTTTCCAAACTGAGGTATGTGGGACAGTCCACCAAGACGAAATAAGAAAATATTACAAATTCTATTTCTGTTTATTTTTCTCCACCTTTCAAAATTTCTATCTTTTAGGTATATTTTTAAATGTACAAAATACCTTAGTATTTACATGTATTAATATTTATATAATTTTTAAATAAATATATGGAGAATACTCAAAAATGTTGAAGATGTGAGACTCATAACATTTGTAAGTCACTGATCCAGAGCCTTGCTACCAAAGTATATTCTGGGGAGTAGCATCATCACCACTTGGGTGCTCACAGAAATGAGGACCCCAAGCCACCCCAAACCTGTTACAGCAAAACATGCATTTTAACAAGATCTTCATGTGCTTATGGACAGCATTGGCTTTCACATTTTGGTGTGTGTGTAAAAATCATATGAAGAGCTTGTTAAAACATAGATTCTGGGCAACATATCTAGAGATTCTGATTCAGTAGGTATGGAATAGAAACCAAGAATCTGTATTTCTAACACATTCTCAAATGATGCTGATGCTGCTGATCAGAGGACATAACTTAGATAATCACTATTCTACAAGAATTATGAATGGCTTCATGGTTTCATAAAACTATTATAGGTTTCATAAAACATATATACAACCTACATATAAGTGTATACAGGTTTCATAAAACATATATACAAAGTCTGTGCATGTATTTTTCTAGGCAGAAAAAAGTTTTAACAAATTCTCAAATCTGAGGTCCACAAATACAAGGAATACAATTTGACAAAGCAATTTCCATCTATTATTCTATAGATTAGAGTTTTCCTAAACGTAGTATGCATATGCATTCTATTGGTGATATGAGCAATGACATTCACATTATGTATAAATAAACTTATTTTCCTTTCTCTTTTAAAGAAACTTTTTAATATGGAAAATTTCAAACCCATACAAAAAAAGGAAAAACAGCATAATGAAAATTATCATCCAATTTTATCCATACTCCAAGCATTCCTTACCATTATTTTTAATCAAATCCCAGACCCATAATTTTATTCACAAATTATTTTAATATGTGCCTCTGAAAGAACTAATTTTATAAAACATAACCACAATACCATATAATCTTAATATAAAATCCAGTGAATTCCCAATTGCTTCACAAATGTTCTTTTTCACTAGTTTGTCAAATCAATAAGGTCCATTCACTGCATAGGCTGTTACAGGTCTTAAATCTGTTTTAGCATGTAAATTCCCCTTCCATTTTAACTTTTTGAGTTACACATATATCTTTAACTCTTTGCAATCAGAGACATCTTGCGGATCACCTACCAGCGACTTGACTGCACATTTTTACAAAATAGTGAAAAACGAATCACTTCATATTAAATAGTATAGCACTGGGATCAATTACTTTACTGTAATGATATTTGGCTTATAATGGAATTTTAGAAAGTGAGGAATTTACTTATGACAAAAAATAAAAATTGTATATCTTATATTTTTCTAATGTGTAGCAATGTGTGAAACAGTCACCAACATGCACTGCAGGTTCATTGATACATGTTGTGCAATAGTAATTTGACATCTTCCACCTGGTATTTTTCTTGAGTAGGAGTCTCACTCTGTTGTCCAGGCTGGAGTGCAGTGGCACACTCACAGTCACCCCAGCATCGACCTGTTGGGCTCAGGCGATCCTTTTGACTCAGCCTTCCAAGTAGCCTGAACTACAGGGGTGTGCTACCACATTCAGATAATTTTTAGATTTATTGTAGAGATGAGGTCTCACCAAATTGGCCAGGTTGTTCTTGAACTCATGGGCTCAGGCAACCCTCTCACCTCGGCCTCCCAAGGTGCTGGGATTACAGGATTGAGCCACTGCGCCCGCCCCACCTGGTGTTTTTCAATCACACAATGCAATCTCGTTTTCTTCCTCCTACATTATTAATATTATAACTTATTGTTCAGTCTGTTGTTTGAAGATGATGTGGAGCACATTTTCTTACTATGTAATGCCTGTTTTTTTAAAAACATATATCTCAGTATATATTCCAACTCTTTATTTGCTTTTTTGTGCAATCTGAATGGAAAACTTCAAGTAAACATACATTTTTGAAAAATTTCTGCTGGCATAGGTCTGTCCTGCAAAATCACCAGCAATTTCTGTCCCCCGAGAGGGGATATCTGAGTGGTTTGCTATATTTCTTTATGTCCCCCGAGGGGGGAACATCTGAACGCAAAGAGTTAAAAGGCATTAAGCCCATACCACACATATGATTTCATAACCATTAATTTCCACTTGAAACAGAGCTAAAGCTCTGTTTAAGCTTTAAAAAAATGAATTAAAAAATATTAAGCAAATGATAGCATGTGTAGATGTGACAAATTATCAATGTGGTCATTAACAGAGATTGGTAAAAAAGCACTTTAGAAATATTGCCAACAGTTTAAGAAAGCAGCATTCCAGCTGGGCTCAGTGGCTCAGCCTGTAATCCCGCGCCTTGGGAGGCTGAGGTGAGTGGATTGCCTGAGCCTGCGGGTTCGAGACCCGCCTGGGCAACTTGGCGAGACCGCATCTCTACAATAAATCAAAAATTAGCCGGGTGTGGTAGCACGCGCCTGTAGTTCCAGCTACTTGGAAGGCTGAGGCGGAAGGATGGCTGGAGCCCAGCAGAATGAGGCTGCAGTGGCTGGGAGCAGCCACTGCACTCCAGTCTGGGTGACAGAGTGAGACTCCGACTAAAAAAAAAAACAAAAAAAGGAAAGCAGCATTCCCAAACATATTAAATTTGAATATACCTACTTTTACAAAGGTCAAGAAAGAGTTCCTCAATTCCTTTGTTCTGTTTGGCTGAAGTGTGATAATGTTTTGCTCCCACCGAATCTGCATATCTTAAAAAAAAAAAAAAATCAGTGATTGATATAAAATATTTTTCATGATTTTTGTCATAACTACTATTTGAACCTTTTTACAGTAACAATTTTAGTGACTTATTTACCCAAGTTTAGTGAAATTAAGGTTACACAGCTGTTTAGCCTTTCTATATACATTTAATCAAATTTTAAATAACACAAATATAACAAGACTTTACATTTTAATAGATTAATTTAGAAATACATTATTTGAAAAGTTTTTGTTATACACTATTTGATCATGACAATTTTCTTTTACAATATTCTTATTTTTTTAACTGACATCAAAAAGGGAAATGAGTGTGCAAAAGCTTTCCTGCCCCCAATTCAGAAATTACTATGTAAACATGCCTCATAGAATCCAATAGCTCAATCTACATTAAGAGGTTTGAATAATACCTAAATGGTAAAGATCGCTGTACAAAGAGAAAGACTTCTACTGGGGAAGAGTGAAGGTGGGGAGGGCACAACACTTACGATTCTGCTTCTTGAACAGAAACATGTCTCTCCTTTTCCAAGTCTATTTTATTACCTAATTTGAGAAAAGTAAATACTAATCTTTAATAATGATTCATTGTTATAACAAAATTAAGCCAATTCTAAATATACAAATGCCATTTTAATTACTTGCAAAAATAATACAAATCCCCACAAGACTTCTAAGTGTCTTGAAATCATAAGGTTAACACCAGAGATGTGAGGGCTGCATCATACCTCATCCTCCCTCAAATGGCTCAATGCATATCTTCCTGAATCTGCAGCCTCTGTCAGAGAACACAACTTTTCCAAAGACATGGGCATTCTTCTTTGATTTGGGGTATACCAGGGATTAATATTCTCTAGGGAATCTAGAAATAAACCTATGACCTAACCAAGTATAAGTGATCAGAAATAAGAGCAAGGTTGAGTGCAGTGGCTCACATCTGTAATTAATACCAGCACTTCGGGAGGCCCAGCAGGAGGATTGCTTGAGCCCAGGTGTTTGAGACCAGCCTGGGTAACATAGCCAGACCTAGTCTCTACAAAAATTCAAGAAAAAGTTAGCTGGGCATGGTTGTAAGCACCTGTGGTTCCAGCTACTTGGGAGGCTGAGGTGGAAGGATCGCCTGAGCCCAGGAGTTTGAGGCTGTGGTAAGCCGTGAGTGTGCCACTGCACTCTAGCCTAGGTGAAAGAGTGAAATCCCAACTCAAAACAAAACAAAACAAAACAAAACAGTAACAACAACTTAGAGTCAGTAGATAATCAAGTACGGCTATCTTTGTGTTTACTAAAATATATGAGGCCAGTTTCTTTAACCCTATGAGTACTTTAGTTTTCTAGATGATAAAAATTAAAATGTATAGATCTTTAAGTATTCCACAACTATGGGGCAAAACTGTGTTGTTTGTTTAAAAAAGAATTTTAGTGACTTATTAGAACTTAATATATGTATGTCATGCAGATTAAAATTATTAAAAATAAGGTCAGCTCTCCTTAAACAATGGAACCAAATTGAGATTCTGCTAAAAAGCCACCAGAACAAAAATGAACTGAAAAATGCAGATTCCTTTTTGAGTACAAGAGAGAAAGTAAGATGAGTTGGCTAGACACATACAATACTAAAGGTAATAGAAACAATAGATAGGAATGTGGAAAAATACCCTAAAGAAGAACTCTCCAAACAAATATTTTCATTTCTTCTATTATAATTTTTAGAAAGAAAAAAGAAAACCTTATAAACAAGGTCATTTTTTCTTGGACCTTTCCGAGTCTAGAAGACAATTTCAGATAAAGCACTGCAGTAAACATCCAATGAAAGATGCAATGTCTAGCACTAAGAAGTATTAAATCCAGAGGTTCTGTATATTGAGAATCTCAAATAATCTAAGCACGTAATTGCTGGACGCTGCAAAAAACTGTCTGCTACCATAGCCTAAGGATGAGAGAGAGAGGTGGACAATATTTAAAGGTCAATGAGTACTAACATAATCAGTAACAAGCGCTTCCTTCTTTGAACAGTTATCTGTCTACCTTATCAAGAAGTTTCATGTTAGCTCTGATTTCCTACACTATATTTTTTAACGTGCTGAATATTATAGTCAATATATCTGACAGTAACCAGAGGAACAAACAAGTTGTTTTATTCTACAAAGTAAGCAAGAAGCACCATCTTGTGGCCATGGCACCAACAAACAGGCACAAGATACAGCCTCTACCTAAAAAGATAAAACAGGATAGTCCCCTAGCAATATGACTTATGTTCCAATGAACTAAAACCCTATAGAATTTTTTTTCTAGATCTTTAAAGTCTCATTTTCAATTATCATAATACTGTAAGAAAGGGACTGGCAGTAATTGGAAACTGCCGGGGGAGGGAGGACCACCTCATCAACAAGGGTACATTATGCATTTGTATACATAACCCTCAATTGGAACCCACATCTTCAAAAGAAAAATTAATATGGTCAAAAAAACCAAAAAGTCTCACTTTCTAAATTCCACCAGAGTCACCAACACCTATAAAAAAGAGTAAGGATAGAGGCTGGGTACAATGGGTCACACCTGTAATCTCAGCACTTTGGGAGGCCAAGGCAGAAGGACTGCTTGATCCCAGGAGTTGGAGACCAGCCTAGGCAATATGGTGAGACCTCATCTCTACAAAACATCAAAAAATCATCTGGGTGTGGTGGCATGCACCTGGAAGTGCAGGAGGTCAAGGCTGCGGTGAGCAGTGATCACGCCACAGCACTCCAGTCTGGGCAAGAGAGTGAGAGCCTGACTCAAAAAATAAATAAAGAAATAAATAAGGAAGAACAGGGAAGGTGACAATCAATTAGTCTCAATGAACATTTAGAGGAAATTATTCAGACACTGCTTTATTATTTAATAATATTTTAAACCTGCCAAATTTAATAAATCAGGTCATTATTAAAACTATTTTAATAACCTAATATTTTAAATTTAAAAAATTTGAAATATCTCTACTAAATAACCACTACTTCGAACAGTGTTCACAATGAATAGCACAAAATATACTGCAAAAAACCTGTCTGCTAGTAGTGATACATCTTTCCAAAGCTCAAAAACCTTTCAGTTCTTATATTCTTTGAAAAGCAAGACAGCTAAGGAAGTAAGGTTTTGAGGCTCATATCTGCTTCAACACTAATAGGCAGCTTTGTAGAGAACTTTCTAATAGGTTTAAAATGCCTCAAAACAAAGACAATCACCAAAGTAGCAGTACTATAAAGGAAAAAAGAACAAAGTCATCCTCTAAGTAAAAATTTTCTCTAAATACATATTTCAATTAAGAGCACAAAAGGGAGATGCTCACTGCTAAGGGCAGATGGTCTAACAGTGATTAAAAAGCTAGAATATATCTTTGCTTAGACTGTGGCTGTGGGGCACAGTGGAAAGAAGCTTTCAAAAAGTTTTTAAATAAAACATGTTAAGTCCTGGCTCACTTCATCACTGTAAGACTTGGGGGAAATTATTTAACCTCTTTTAGTCTCATTTTGTGCAAATATAACAAATAACTTCATGAGGTAGATGAGAAAATAAGGTATATGTAAAAGGCCTAGCAAGTAGTACACACTCAATAAAGAGCAGTCAAAAATATAAGCCATATTCATTACAGTGAACGATCAGATGGAAAAATCATATTATTATGAGAATTAAAGTTCATGATAGGTAACTTACTTTCTATTTTCATCCTGCTGGTTCATCTAGCTAATTTAGTTTATCCAACACTTACTTAAATAAATCTTTCCTTATTCCCAACTCCCCTCTCCCCCCACTGCCCACCCCCCAAATCTAGTTAGGTTTGCTTTTGTGCTTTCACTGTACTGTATTCTATACTTCCCTTTTCATAGCATTATCATAACTATATTAATAGTAGCTTGTTTTTTTCTCTCTCTACACAAAGAGCTCTGGGAGGACAAGGAACAGATCTAATGTGTTTACTTAATCACTACACTATTCTCAAAGCCTGGTATACAGTAAGCAACATATAGTGCTTATTAAGGATATGGGTTTGAAGTGGCTTGAAGACCAGAGTTAAAATCCCAGGTCTACTTCTAACTAGCTTTGTGACTTTGGGAAGTATCTAGCTCTCTAAGCCCATTTCCTCATCTACACAATGGAAAAATGGTCTTCCTGAAGCACTGCCAAAGGTTTAAATGAACAATAAATGTGCAGTTCTTAGAACAGTGCCTGGCATTCAGTAAATGGTAACTATGATTAATAAATATCTGTTTAACAAACATAGAAAAGTTAAGGACAGATGAGGCACAGAATACTAGCAAGTATAACAACCATAACCAAGAGTGCTGATCAATAGACTAATGACAACCTAGAGGGAAAAGCCTCTGCTAGTGAAGTTACGGGGCTCTCTGTTACTGGTTAGCATTTGGTTATCAGTAGCTTAGATGAGGACCTGGAAGGTTAAGTATTCAATTTACACATGAAAATATTAATAGACTGTATATCAAACATAAAAATTCAAAAACATGTGACAAGTTGAAGTTTCTATACTTAGGTTTAAATAACTTAATTACATAAGAACTGGGAAAAACTTGATTGAACAGCAATTACCCACAAAAATGAAATTCAGATTTCTGCTCATTATAATCTATATCAGGGGTTTATATACTGGTCCCTGGCCTGTTAATAACCGGGCTGCACACAGCAAGAGGTGAGCGGAGGGTGAGCAAATGAAGCTTCATCTGTATTTATAGTCGCTCCCCAGCCATTACATGACTGCCTGAGCTCCACCTCCTGTCAGATCAGAAGCAGCATTTGATTCTCACAGGAGTGTGAATCCTATTGTGAATCACACATGGGAGGGATCTGGGTTGCACGCTCCTTATGAGAATCAAATGCCTGATGACCTGAGGTGGATCTGAGGCGATAATGCTAGCTGTCTCCCATCACCCCCCAGACCACATGGTTGCAGGAAAACAAGTTCAGGACTCCCACTGATGTTGCATTGTGGTGAGTTTTGTAATTATTTCATTATATATTACAATGTAACAATAATAAAATACACAATAAATATAACGCATTTGACTCATCCCAAAACCACCCCCTCACCCCTGTGGAAAAATTGTCTTCCGTAAAACCAGTCCCTGATGCCGAAAAGGTTGGAGACCACTGATCTATATAAATGAGACTACAGTTGTCATGGCTGCTAAAAAGTTTATGCAATCTTAGGCAATCTTGATAGAAGACCAGTGTGGTGAGCAGTGTGCCACTGCAATCAATTTAGTCTGGGTGACAAAGTGAGACTCCGACTCAAAAAAACAAAAAAAACCAGTGTGAGGAGAGAGGGTCTATAAGTGTATTTGGATTCTGGTGTTTACTTCCCAGTGTTGGAGACACAGTGATACACTAGAATAAACATAGGAGAATGGTTTGGATGATGAGAATGTCTGGAAGGCAGGTCACATGAAAAAGTTGAAGATCTGGCGAGTACAAGAGTATCAGTGAACTGCTCAAGTAGGCTTCAATGCTTGAAGGTTGTTTTATATAAATGCCTATCTCTATGCCAAATGTTTTCCAAATCATTATATAATCATCACAATCCTATGCCAGGTGCAATGGTTCACGCCTGTAATTCCAGCATCTTGGGAGGCAGAGGCAAGAGGATTGCCTGAGCTCAGAGGTTCGAGAACAGCCGGGGCAACTTGGTGAGACCTCGCCTCTACAATAAATTTTTTAAAAAATTAGCTGGGTGTGGTGGTGCATGCCTGTAGTTCCCGCTACTTGGAAGGCTGAGGTGGAAGGACTGCCTGAGCCCAGCAGTTTGAGGATTCAGTAGCTGTGAGCGTACCACTGCACTCCAGCCTGGGTGACAGAGTAAAAATCTGACCAAAAAATAAAAATAAAGAAATCATCACAATTCTATGAGGTAGTATAATTTCAAAGTTATTTATAAAACAGAACATGGATATACTACCACAGAGAACAGAATAAAATCAAGAAGAAAAAAATAATGCAAGTGGCCATCAGCAGCAAAATGGATAAATGGTGGAATACCCCTAGAATAAAGTATTAGATAGCAAAAGAACTCCAAAATGAACTACAACCATATACAACAACAAAGAGGATCCTTGTAAACATAAAGCCAAAAAAGCCAGACACAAAAAAGTTCATATTATATGTTTCCATTTATATGAAATTCAAAAGAAAACTAATTCTTACAGTAAAAAGTCAAAATAATGGCTGGGGTTGGGGGATGGCAACTCTGATAGTACTGGGATGAAAAAGAAGCACAAACAGAACTTCTAGAATACTGTTTATACTTTGTGAAATTTTCATTTTATGAAAATTGTTACAAAGATTGGTACACTCTTCTGTATACATATTTTAATTAAAAGTTCACTTCAAAAAATGAGTAAGTGAAGACTTAAGGAAGTATGATTTCAGATTGTGAGAAAAAAAGCTGTCAAAATTAGTATAAAAAAAGTAGTTGCCTTTCTGATAAGAGCACAGAGTTATAAGTCTTCATACAGCAGTAACATGATGATCTAAATTAGATTCTTGCATTGTGTCAGAATTGATAAGTTGTTTCCAGTCACCCACATCAGAAATAACAGCACAATGCCTAGCACAAAGGAGCCACTCAAAAATATCCGTAGAAGAAAAAAAGTCAGGCAAAAAGAGGGAATTAATTCCTAGTCCCATCCTGAAATGAGGACTGAGAAACTTACTTAAAAAAATTCTAGGCCTGTTGGGCATTGTGGCTCCAGCCTATAAGCCCAGCACTTTGGGAGATCGAGGCGAGAGGATTGCTTGAGTCCGCAAGTTCGAGACCAGCCCGGGCAACTTGGTAAGACCTTGTCTCTACAATAAATCAAAAATTATCTGGGTGTGGTAGCACGCATGCCTGTAGCTCCAGTTACTTGGAAGGCTGAGGCAGAAGGATCGCCGGAGCCCAGCAGGTCGATGCTGGGGTGGCCGTGAGTGTGCCTCTGCACTCCAGCCTGGGCGACAGAATAAGATTCCAACTCAATCAAGCAATCAAATATAGATTTAAAACAAATAGTAAAAGGGATTTCAAGATTCTCCTAACTCTGAATTACAACTAAAATTCGATGTCATACTTCCAATAGAAGAGTGAAAGCTTTTTATACTAATCACTAAAAGACACTATATAATATTAAATGAGGAATATTTGACCCTATTTGAAGCAGAAAGCTACCAGACCCAAATTCCTAAACCTTCTTAAAACATGAACATGAAAAATACACAGTTTAAAGAAACTAATCTTAAGCATATTGGACTCAGCTGATTTTTTTTAAATGTCACTTTGTAAGCTCAGTCAAGTAACAAGCTTATATAATGTCAGTAATTTCTTTCTGTCTTCAGAAGATGACCTGAATCTCAAAAGATTAAATTTTCAGTCAATCATTTACTGTAACCACTTCCATCCTAGTAAGTCTCAAGTGCCACACAAAACTAAATAATGACTAACTGCAGCTTTGGCCCCAAACTCCCATGTAGTCTACTACTCCAGAGTTTAGGGCGGAAATATTCCTGCCATCTTGCCTAATATCTAGTATCTAGACCAAAAAGCAGGAGATAACATCTAATTGACCTCTTCCCCCAGACTTGCATCCTGATCTGGGACTGTAAAGTTACCAATCTAATGGCAGCAAGATACGAGAAATATAAACTAAAGTTTAAAAAAAAATTTCTTGAAAATAAAAAAAGCAGCCGGGCTTGGTGGCTCAGCCTGTAATCCCAGCACTTTGGGAGACCGAGGTGAGTGGACTGCCTGAGCCCATAGGTTCGAGACCCTCCTGGGCAACTTGGCGAGACTTCATCTCTACAGTAAATCAAAAAATTAGCCAGGCGTGGTAGTACACGCCTGTAGTTCGGGCTACTTGGAAGGCTGAAGTGTAAGGATTGCTGGAGCCCAGTAGGTTGAGGCTGCGGTGGCCGGGAGTGTGCCACTGCACTCCAGTCTGGGTGACAGAGTGAGACTCCAACTCAAAAAAATAAAAAATAAATAAATAATAAAATAAAATAAAATAAGCAGAATTTTTCCATGTTGACCACTCTGTTCTTTTGTTTCCCAAAATACCAGCTTTGTCCTCCACTAAAATTAACCTGATTTCTCCCAGGTCATTCTAAATTATTACCAGCTATGTAGAAAGGGAGAGAGAAAACAGCACGCAGCTATACATCATAAGGATTAATAACATAAGCATAAGAGTCAGAATGACTTAAGTTCAAATACAATCTCTCATAGCTGCCTGACATTGTTCAAGTTATTAGTATCTCCAGGACTCAGCTTCCTCTATAAAGCTCTTATAGGGTTATAAGGAATACATGAGATAATATCTATTGAGTACACAGCAGTGTCTAGTATACTTTCATTGCTTCATTATTAATTGTGATACCGTAGCAATAACCTAAAGAAAAAGGGAACCAAGGAGAAATTCCAGAAGTCTAAGAGTAAGTACTATAGTTCCTTAACTTTACTCATTAAGAATATTCCTCCACCTCAGAATCATGATCTGCTTGTATTATTGCTGCCAGATTTGCCTTTTAGAACTGCAAAGGCATAAGAACAGCATAACGACACTGAAGACTTAGAAAAGGGGTACAGGTTGGGCTCAGTGGCACAGCCTGTAATCCCAGCACTTTGGGAGGCCAAGGCAAGTGGACTGCCAGAGCCCGCAGGTTCGAGACCCACCCGGGCAACTTGGTAAGACCTCATCTCTACAATAAGTCAAAAATTACCCAGGTGTGGTAGTACACGCCTGTAGTTTCGGCTACTTGGAAAGCTGAGGTGGAAAGATCCCTGGAGCCCAAGGTGGAGGCTGCGGTGGCCGGAAGCATGCCACTGCACTCTAGTCTGGGCAACAGAGTGAGACTACAACTCAAAAAAAAAAAAAGAAGGGGGGTATAAGGATGAAAAATTACCTCTTGGGTACAACGTACACAAAGGAGTGGAGGGTATACTTAAAGCCCAGACTTCTTCACCATTATACAACGCACTCATGTAACCAAAAATTGTTTGTACTCCCCTAAAGCCACTGAAAAAAATTTTTAAAAAAAATAACCGCCCTTTACTTAAAAATGTATATAGTTAAATATATAGAACATGAACACTGGCTTTAGTAGTGGTTCCTAAACTTTTTTCCTAAACAAAATCTCATGGTGAAAAAGGTCAAATGAAAGCAAGGTTGGGAAACTTGAAGTCTCATGTGTTAAGTTTTCCACTAGCTCCCCAAGGTATTTCTTGAAGCACAGAGTTTCCAGAAAAGTTCCTTCTAAGCCCTAAATAATAATAATAATAATAATAAAATATTATTATTAATATTAATATTTTGAGTTGGAGTCTCGCTCTGTTGCCCAGGCTGGAGTGCAGTGGCACACTCACAGTCACTGCAGCCTTGACCTGCTGGGCTCAGGAGATCCTTCCGCCTCAGCCTTCCAAGTAGCTGGAACTACAGGCATGGGCCACCAGGTCTGGCTAATTTTTGATTTATTGTAGAAATGAGGTCTCATCAAGTTGCCCAGGTTGGTCTCGAACCCTTGGGCTCAGGCAATCCTCTCACCTCAGCCTCCCAAAGCCCTAAATTATTATAAAATATTTAATATGGAAACTGCCATTCTTCCTCCTTTCCCATATAACTTTAAAACAAAAATTACTTGTTTATTATGTCTTTACTAAAATATTAAGGAAACAAAGGAACTTTTTAAAATGATGCTTACCTACTATACATAAACAGATTTCATTTCCCAACATTTTCCGTAATTCTTTGACCCAATTTTTCACCTGTGTATACAAAAGAGCACATATTAAAACAATTCCTGTTAGAATTACTACTATAACACCGAAAAACTCAACACTGTCAAAATACCTCAAGATTCTAAGAGTGCATATATTTAGTTATTACTAGAAATGATTCACTGAAGAATCATTTGTTGCCAGGTTTATTGCAAACCTCATGCACATAAACATACAATGGAAGGAATGCTCTCAATATCGACACATGGGTATACACAGAAGCATCTCTAGTTACAAATTTTCATCAATCTCCCATAGATCCAAGTAAAGCTATTTGCAGGAGCAATGTCAACTCCAGCTTCTGATAATGGATGCTTTATAACAGAAATAGCGTTGAAACATTAGACTTATGAATACAAGGGCTTAAAATAATCTTTTATACCCTAATTGGTTCCTAAATAGAGGGCATGGGAGATTCTGTGTCATACACTTAAAGGAGAAAAAAAAATGTAATGGGCACAAAAAAAAAAAGAGAGTGGTAAACTAAATTTTGTTTATTTAGTACATGACAGAGTTTTTCAACCTTGGCAATACTGACACTTTGGCTCAGATAATTCTTTGTTGTAGGGAACTGTACTGTGCAATATAAGTTTAGCAGCATCCTCGTCTTTCTACTCACTAGATGACAGTAGCTCCCTTCAGCTGTGACAACCAAACATTGCCATCCCCTGGTAGAGAACCATTGGTATACAATGACTCCAGTTACAAACTGATTCTCCGCTATGAATGAAGCATAGCAATACGCACAGTTGGGAGTAAACTTAAATTAAGTAAATTAATATTTTGAACTTATAACTTTAAATATGTTGCTTACAATTAAAAAAGGATAAAAAAACAAATTTGGATACCTGCTTTCTGTATCAAATCACACAGAACGTACATACTTTCCTTTAAAAATATACACACGTCTGTAAGTTACAAAAATTACTTTAGATATGAAGTAAGCACTTACTGTGCATCTGGTTCTATGGTACAAGAGTTCCACATCCTATTCTCTGCAAGAATGCAGAGGAACTGCCTTTAACAAACCCAACATACTTATAAAAGCACTGAACAGCAATGAACCCCTTTTCTCAGTACAACTCCATCCTTTTGTTTCATTCACATAAATGCATAGTTCTCAAAGCATATAACTTCCACTCTTAAGTTGATTTCACTTAAGAAAAATTGACAGTATTGGCATAAAACATACATCTTTATCAACCTCAAAAGAAACATGCCAGAATCCAATTATGCATTACTCTACTCCCTGCACACACAGCATCACAACCTACTAATCAAATCAATTGTTAAAAACTTTGTCTTTCTTCTCCAATTAGATACACTCCACATGTATCCTACTCCTTACCCCCATATATTTTGTGGTAAGCTAAAGATAGTCACAAATTCTTTGTCAATCCTTCCATCAAGTGGTAAAATTGGATTCTCTACTCTTTGAATTTGGGCCGGCCTTGTAACTTGCTTTGACCAAGAGAACGCAGTAGAAGCAATGCTGTGTCAGTCCCAGATTTAAGCCTTATATTGGCCTGGTAGCTTCTACTTTTAACTCTTGGGATCCAGTTGTCACATAAATAGCTTAGGCTAGAGTACAGAATACTGTGAGAGCATGTGGAGAGAGTACTGGAGGACAGGACAACAGATACAGTGAGAAACCATGTGGAGGAAAACTAGGCCTTCTCAGATCCAGGACCAGCCAAATTCCCAGTTCAATGCAGCTGCATGAGTGACTCCACTGACACCACAGAGAGCAGAAAACCTGCCTGGTCAACCCACAGAATCATGAGAAACAATGAACTGTTGTTTTGAGTCACCAAGTTTTGGGGAGATTTTTAATGTTCCAATAGGTAACTGCCCACTTTTCAACCTAAAATACTCAATCTTCTCTTAATCAATAAATAATTTCTTTTTATGCAAAAAGCCTGGGTAGAAAAACAAATAGCACCAAACAGCAGCCCCAAAATAACTTTTAAAAATCATTAAATCTGTAAGCTACCTATCATTTCATTTTCCTACTCCTTGAATGAAGTTTTTCCACATATCATTAATAATCCAAGGGCTGAGAATCTGCTTCATCAGATTTAACTGGGAAAAAATGAAGAGAAAAAAAGCTAAACTAATAAGGCAAGTAATTTCAACAAGAACAAACTTATAATTTAAAGCAAGAGAAGTTTCTGCCTTGGAAATTACTCCCTTTAGTTACACATTGCTGAAAGATTTATTCTAAGAAATGCTTTAGGAAGAAAGTTCAAATAAGTAACCTATCCTGACTGTAATGAGAATTCAGAGGCAAGTTTAATGTTAACTCATTATTGGTCCCAAACAACTTTTAAAATCTTATGTTGGTAGTGTATGTTTGAAGAGGAGTAAAAAAAAAAAATTAAGGAGTTTTAAAATAAACATTGGATTGTCCTTTTAAATTTTATGTGATATCTTCCAGGATATTTAGTAAGGAGAAAGAGCTTAAATGTGATTCTGCTCTTCCTTTTTTCTCTTCACAATAAGGTAGCCCATGTAGCCTCACCAAGTTTTCAGATGCCCAATATGTATAAAATCAAAGAAATGTGATTTTTAAGAGGTAAGAACAAAGCCCCTATATTTTTCTGAAGCCTACCTTCATATATTTTCCTTTCCTAATGTTTTAGAAAGTCATACAATAAACCATTAATAATTCCAAGACAATTTAATATGAATTAAATACTTCATTTAATATGAATGCAAAAATAAAACGGAAAAAAATATTAGTCACCATTTATACACAAAGTATATACTTTACTTTTAAAAACAAAACTGATCACATTAGTGAACAAAGGCATATTAATGAAGACTTGAAAAATCAGTGTTGTCCTTCTGATTAAGGAATCTACCCATAAATTAAATAGAATACCTTCTGAAAAGAATCTTCATCTGTTATATCATAAACTAAAATAGCTCCATTTGAATCTCTGTAGTAAATTGGACCCAATGCATGGAATCTCTCTTGACCTGCTGTATCCTAAATAAAACATCAAATGATTATTAGATCAGAAGAAAAATACACATCTGCTATTGAAACTGCAGTGAACTTTTGATTAATTGTAAAGTAGGACATAAAAAGTCAGATAACCCCAAAACACCATTAAACAAAACAGATTACGAACAAAATTTTAAGTCAAATTATAACCAATACGTAATGCTTTACTATCATACAAAGGTTACTTTAACCCTCCCAGCAAACTCTCCAACCCCACTGAAAGAAAAAGTTCCACTGCTAGAGGTTCAGAATGGCACAGAATAGGCCCTACCCTCAATTTAGGTTCCCCAAGCAGGGAGAAAAGACAGCAAAAGAGAGCATATTTCAAAACCACCTTACAACAAGTATTCTACTACATTTCCCGGGATCTATTCTCTACCAGTCACTCCCTTAGAAGGTTGGAACATGGAGATGTGAGGGGGGGGGAAGGCCAGGCAGGCTGTCCACATCCTTGTCCTGCCTCTGAAGTAGAATCCCTGAGTTGACCCTTCTCTAGTTGAAAAGTGATGACAGCAATATTCAGATACACAATTGTATTCCAGATATAATTCTTAATCAGATTTTAAAAAAAGTTTTGGCTATATCTTCAGCTAACTAAAAAGAAAAAAAAGAGGCCTCCACTTACATAGTTGGAAAGATTAACTTACCCATATAGCAAGGTTTACTCTTTTCCCACCAATATTTAACTTCTTTGTTAAGAATGACGCCTAAGAAGAGAAATATACATTAAACAATGTTTGACATAAAATAATGTTCCTTAACAACTATAAATGAATGAGTCATCTCAAGGTAAAACTTAAATTATCATGGAGAAACAGGAATCGCTGAGTTTTAAATGACCAAAATCACTTTCTTTGAAGACAGAACACTGTTTACATTTTTATCTTTAAAAAAAATAATGTTTTATGAACACAAATTATGAAAAATACATAGAATATGGTAAGTACTTTTTGTTCTTTTTTTTCTTCTATATATGTAGAACAAAATTTTTCCTAGAGCATGTAATTTGACGCCACTTTATCTACTTAGAGAAACAGTATAAAGAGTTCTAAGAAAAATATTTTACTTAGAATAAGTAGTTTACTTATTGTGTAAATATAAATATTATTCTAAATAATTCTGCACTTATTTCATAACTCAACTGTTTACCATATGAGGCAGGGTCCAAAAAATCCAGAATTTATTTATAAAAAATTGTGTATTTATTCTTACATGTTTAAGCTTCAGTCACCTTCAAACTACTCTTCACTTGGTGCAATACACCTACTGAGATGCTTCCTTCCACTTCTCAAAACAGTTTTTGAGCTTGTTAATTTTGACACCTTTTAGCACTTACACCATTTTTGTTTCACCTCTTCCACAAGGCAAAATGTTTCCCTTTGAGGACTTTTTTTCATTGGGAATACAAAAAAAGTCGCTAGGGGCAGATCAGGTGAATAGGAGGGTGGGGAATAGGGGTCAAGCTATTTTTGGTCAAAAACTACTGAATACTTAGCATGGTGGGGGCAGGTGTGCTCATAAATCACCCACCAAGAAATCGGCAAACATGTTGAAAGAATCTCCAATAAAAAATTCACTGAAGCATAATACAGCTTCTCACAACACTAGCTGGTATACTGGTACTGTCAGGTTCCTAGAACACTCACCTAGTAGGAGAAGCCTGTACTACAAAGGGTCCTACCCTCCAAAAATATATATATAAATAATTTCGGGTTTTTTGGGGGGCCCTGTAGTATAGTCAATAATTATTCTAAGTAAAAATGTCACAGACATGAAAGGGCATGGTTCCAGTCTTTAAGGAGCTTATTATTCTATTGAAGAAATAAAAATGTAAAGAGAATTATAATTCCACGTGATAAGTGTTAAAATAAAGGGTCTTGCGAAGTGCACTATAAGGATAGCAATGAGAAAGAAAGTGTAACGCTTGCCTGGATGAGTCAAAAAAAAGGCTTCAGAGGGAAGCCTCTTTTTTTTTTGAATTGGTGTCTCACTCTGTCGCCCAGGCGAGAGTACAGTGGCACACTCACAGCCACCCCAGCAATGACCTGCTGGGCTGTGGTCATCCTTCCGCCTCAGCCTTCTGAGTAGCCAGAACTACAGGTGCGCACTACCACACCTGGCTATTTTTTTATGTATTGTAGAGATGAGGTCTCGCCAAGTTGCCCAGGTGGGTCTTGAACCGTGGACTCGGGTAATCCATTTGTCTCGACCTCCCAAAGTGCTGGGATGACAGGCTGAGTCACTTAGCCCAGCCATGATCTAATCTTTAAGAGTAGTAGGGCTTTTCCTGATAGATGGTGAAGGCACTAAAGCCTGAAACACATAACCTCGCCCCATGGGAAAGTTCAAATTGGTACAGTCAATGTCAGAGATGAGAGGACATAATCAGGGAAAGGCCGAATAAAAAGTTCTAAAATTCCATGTCTAAAAGTATGGACTCTACCTTCTGGGTCCTAATAAAACCTGTTCCAAGACAGTAGACATGCATTTAAATACACACATACATTTTACTGTCAGGTGCATTTAGGAAATGCTATATATTGTTCTTTGTACATTCACAATTCACATTTGCACAATAGGATTCTGCCAAAAAGAAGTATAGCTAACTGCATTTATATAAGCACTTCCCAAGCTCATTTGAACTATTTTTCAGAGTTTCTTCTGTATAGCACTGAACTTTTTCCCTGGAGAAATACCTAATTCATCTTACAGAATAACTGTTAAGAAATATTACTACTGACAACAGAGAATCACTGAAGGGTTTTAAGCAGTGGGAAAACAGAAGATCTATATTTTAAGAGAATCAGTATGGGATAGGAGGGAAGGTTGGACTAAAAAAGACAGGATAAGATCTAAGAGAAAGGATGCTATTACAAAGCTGGAAAGAAAAACAAAGAAGGCCTGAAGTAAGATCATGAAGATAGGAAAGAAAGAACAGAATTAAGAGTTATTGAAGAGGAAAAGTTCTCAGAATCCAGTCAGCTGCCATGTTTTAAAAAGGAAGATAATTGAGTTCAGAGATATATGAAGTAGCCATATTTAGGTATATGGAAGAAGAAAGTGCAGAGAAGAAAGGTGAAACAGAAAAGGCTAGGATGATGAATCACTGAAGGAGAAGAAACCTAGATTTCAGGAAGGACTTTTTGCTATGGGCATACCAAGGAAAATTAGAACTAAGCAAGGCCATGGGATGTTAGCAATTAACTAAGAAGACCACAGATAAATAGCAGAGCTGGGATCAAACTCAGGAATACTACTCAGGCCCAGGCTATACTACTTAAGAGACTGTATTAAATAAGACAAAAATTGTACAGAAAAGGGTAAAAAAAAAAATTAAATGGGAAAATGACAAAATAAATAACTTGGAAAATAAAAAGGCCAAATATATGCTCGACAATAAATGTGAATAAAGACCTCTTCTCATTCATTACAGCATAGCAGCTAAGAATATGAACTTTAGAACAGAACTTTGGATGTGACTCTCAGCTTTGCCACATATGATGAGCTGTGTAATTTACTTGAACACAATCATTTTTACAGTTTCAATATCGTTGCCATATAAAAGAAACTCAAACTCTGAATCCTATCCAAATATTTAATAGATAGGTCAATTTAAATGCCTCTCTTTTTCAAATATATTTAAAACAACCAATCTTCTTTCCAAAATAGGCATTTCATTCTGACTTTAGCATTTTGATCACATTTTCCAAGTCACTGAAGTTTAGAACCTTAGAAATATCTTCTTTCTCCCTCATCTGTCCATATCCCCCCCCCACAAAACCTACCAAGCCTCATATTCATATTTCCTCTGGGGGAGGGTCTATGGCCACCAGTCTCATACTATGTCATAATGTAAACACCTCTGGTCTCACCTCACATTCTGCTTTGCATGCCAAATTATCTTCCGAAAGCTTCCCTGCTTTAGGAAAAAAAAATCCTACAACCATAAAAGAGTTCCCTAGGAATAGGTTGTCAGCTTTAATACTTATGCTTGAACAACATCCCTGATGGTAGAAACGTTGTGGAGATTTCTCAGCAAAGAGGAGTGCATGAGAGTTGGTAAAGTTTCCTCATTTTCTTTCTACTACCCCCCCCCCGAAAATTATCACAACCCCTCCCAGTTTAAAGGACAGTATTGAGTCTCTCACGGATAGGGCAACCCCTTTGGGGAACTTTTCTGTCCTCTCAATAAATCCTGCTTTCTCACTTTAAAAAAAAAAGAACCATGGATATACAAAATTTTATGGAAAGAATACTCATCACAGCATTGATAACAAGGAAAGACAAACACAGTAAAATAACCTAGTGTTCATCAATAGGTAATTAGTGGCCAGGCGCAATGGCTGACGTCTATAATTCCAGCACTTTGAGAGGCTAAGGTGAGAGGATTGCCTGAGTCCATGGGTTTGAGACCAGCCTGGGCTACTGGGTGAGACCTCATCACTACAATAAATAAAAAAATTAGCCAGGCATGGTGGCGCAGGCCTGTAGTTCCAGCTACTTGGAAGGCTAAGGCGGAACAATCACCAGAGCCCAGCAGGTTGAGGCTGTGGTGGCCGAGAGCGTGCCACTCTGCACTCCAGCCTGGGTAACAGAGACTCCGACTCAAAAAGAAAAAAAAAAGGTAATTAATAAAAAAATACAAATGTGACTTCTCCATGCACTAAAACTACATGGTCATTTCTATTACTACTGCTAATACTAGCTAACATTTACTGAATGCTTATTTTCAGTCAAGTACTGTGCTAAGCATGTTTTACAAAATAATTCATAAGCTTCTCCTTTATAAAATGTTGAAGAGTCCATATCTATAAATAAAAGTTTCAACACCTCATCTTTTTATCTAAAGAGCTTCACAATTTGTTCACATCTATTTTACTAGGATAGCTTCCAATAATTCTTTACTTATTCTCCAACTTATATGACTTATTTATATTCCCTCCAATTCTCCTGTACATAAAATTTCTCTGTAATTTGGATCTATTCTGTATTCTCTAGCTAAATTTCACCTATCCAAATCCAGCTCATGACTATATTCTTCTTCCTTTAATTTTCAAGTTTTCTTATATTATACATACAATTCACATGCAATTTATCTACTTGCAATTTTTGGGAAACCTAATCTGTATTTACTGTAGTATGTACTGTTTTTACTGTAAAGTTATCTTTTCATGGGTATAAGTATTCTATTAACTAGACTACACGTTTTTATTTAACACTTTCACAGTGCTTACAATGAAATGGGTAGTATTCCAAGAGCTGCTCAAATATTAACTCATTTAATTCACAAGTGTCAATAACACACTGTGAGTCAGATATAGTTATGATCCAAGTATGACAGATGTGGAAAGAGGCACAAACAGGATATGTATCTTGCCCAAGGTCACACAATAAGGGACAAGAGTGAGATCTGAATTCAGGCAGTCTAGTTTCAAGTATGAAATACAACCACTATATTATGGTACTTCCCAGACCAAGAAGTGAGCTCTCCAACACTTCTTTAGTAGAAGAAAAGAGGGGAATAATAGTACCTCTGCCTATAATAGACAGTCAAATATTGTTATTGTAGATAAACACATCTATAATGTGCCCAGGTAAATCAATGCACGTACAACTCGATTTATGTAACAGATGTTCTCTTAAATTTTTCCTTATAAATCATATTATTTCAATACAAATCAAAATAATCAAATAATATGTGATGCAC